TGAGGTAATGTTACCTCGACCTAACGTTATATTACATCGCTTGAGGTAAAGTTACCTCACGTGAGGTAAAGTTACCTCGCCTTCCATTGAATTCCGATTATGTAACCCTGAGGTAATAATCGCGCGATAATTGTGTTTAATGATTTAACTACGTGAGAATATTACGATATGGGCATTAGCTGAAGTGATGTGAATACGTTCGGATTACCTCAAGTAATGTTACATTTACCTGAGGTAATGTTACCTCTATGTGAGGTAAAGTTACCTCACTTAAGGTCAAGTTACCTCGCCTGAGGTAAAGTTAACTAACCTGGGGTAATGTTGCCTCTACCTGAGGTGAAGTTTCCTCACCTGAAGTAATTTTACTTCGCCTAAGATAAAGTTACCTCAGCTGAGGTAAAGTTACCTCATTTGAGATAATGTTACCTTACCTGACGTAAAGTTACCTCGGCCTGACGTTATATTACTTCGTCTGAAGTAAAGTAACATCACCTGAGGTAATGTTACCTCTACCTGAAGTAATTTTACCTCACCTAAGGTAATGTTACCTCGCATGAGGTAAAGTTACCTCATTTGAGGTAAAGTTACCTCACCTGAGGTAATGTTATCTCGACCTGAGGTTACTAAGGGCACCACGGGGTGACCAGCCCCTCCCCACCCCCCACCCAGCCCCTCCCCACCCCCCACCCAGCCCCTCCCCACCCCCCACCCAGCCCCTCCCCACCCCCCACCCAGCCCCCCCCCACTCAGCCCCACCCAGCCCCTCCCCACCCCCCACCCAGCCCCTCCCTCCCCACCCCCCACCCAGCCCCCCCCACTCAGCCCCACCCAGCCCCTCCCCACCCCCCACCCAGCCCCTCCCTCCCCACCCCCCACCCAGCCCCTCCCTCCCCACCCATCCCCACCCCCCACCCAGCCCCACCCTCCCTACCCAGCCCCTCCCTCCCCACCCAGCCCCACCCTCCCCACCCAGCCCCTCCCTCCCCACCCCTCCCCCCACCCAGCCCCACCCTCCCCACCCAGCCCCTCCCTCCCCACCCAGCCCCACCCCACCCAGCCCCACCCTCCCCACCCAGCCCCACCCTCCCCACCCAGCCCCTCCCCTCCCCAACCATCCCCACCCTCCCCACCCAGCCCCTCCCTCCCCACCCAGCCCCTCCCTACACGACGGACGGACGGACACATTAATCCCCTGTGGGCTGGTGTAACCAGGAGGTTCCTACCAGTAGTCAAGTGAGGATTCTATCTCACGCGAATTTTAAATCGTAAGATTTACGCTACGAGACGACTTCACGTTACGATTACAGCTACACATCTCGTACAGTGTTGACACGAGCGACTAATTAATTGTACAAGATTTACTTTGCACTGAATGAGAATGTCGCGGTGAAGATTACCTTATAATATAACGTGATTTGATACGGATTGCATCACATTCTGATTACCTTACCCTCAGTGCCGGATAAAGTTAGTTCGGGGCCTGTAGCATGTGCTAGAAAGGGGCCCAATAATTTTTTTAAAACGTAAACATTAAAACACATTTTTTACTTGCACAGTAAAGTATTTGTATTTTTTCATTTGCTATACAGCCGGATAATACGACTAATCGCTAACCTTAAACACCCAGTCGTTCATAAAAAAAAAGTTGAAGTCTGTATAGTACTATAGTAATAGAGCAAGTGCAGAATCAATTAACCCGAATTGATATCTTGAAAGCATTTAGCGCGGGGCCCTTGAAAGTGCGGGGCCCGTAGCATTTGTAGCAACTTTTGCGACTCCGATAATTATAAACCCCCACTCCCCCCACCCCCCACCCCCTCCTCCCTCCCATCCCCCACTCCCCCCCCCCCACCACCAACCGCCGCCATTGGCCACTGAGTGACGGTGACGTCACCACGGCGCCTGTGCCAGGCTGGGTGCACTTCGAGGCTGCCGCGTGAAGTGTCGACGGCTCGACACTGAGGTGGTGACGTCACGCGAGCGTTGTGTTTAACGATTTAACCACGTGACGATTTTACGATATTAGCGTAAAAATATGAACATTAGCTGAAGTGATGTGAACACGTTCGGATTACCTCAAGTAATGTTACATTTACCTGAGGTGATGTTACCTCATCTGAGGTGATGTTACCTCAGGTGAGGTAATGTTACCTTAGCTGACGTAATTTTACCTCTGCCTGAGGTAATGTTACCTCGACCTAACGTTATATTACATCGCTTGAGGTAGAGTTACCTCGCCTTCCGACAGTCTGTTAAGGCCACACGGGGGATCTTAGTCTCGTATCCCTGTGACTCTGTCTCCCTGTGACTCTGTCTCCCTGTGACTCTGTCTCCCTGTGACTCTGTCTCCCTGTGACTCTGTCTCCCTGTGACTCTGTCTCCCTGTGACTCTGTCTCCATGTGACTCCATCTCCGTGACTGCATCTGACCGTCGTCCGCGTCTCGTCCCTCCGTGTCTCTGCGCCTCAGCAGCAGCAGCAGCAGGAGATGGGCGACTTCCGAGACATCAGAGGCTTCTTCACCAAGGCCGAGTGGAGCGATCTGGCCGAGTGCGAGAAGCGGCGCTACAGGAACATCAAGCAGAACCACGCCGTCCTGCTGAACCTCGGTGGGTACGGCAGGCCGAGCCTCTTCGCAACTCAACTAATTGTCGCAGTGATTATAATGATGAGACCAAGACGTCGTAGCAGAGTGGCATGCATGGGGCGCCATGGTGGCGAGATGTTAACTACCTCGCCTGGTCTACAGGAGGTCGTGGGTTCGATGGCGACCCTGACGATGCCTGTCATATATCTGGAGTCTGCGTGTGTCTCTCCCCGGTGAGATGTTAACTACCTCTCATGGTCTACAGGAGGTCGTGGGTTAGATCCCGGTCCTCCGGGTTTTTGCTCCACTTGTAGAATCAACATCACGCGTTTAGAGTATTTGTCTGCTGCTATCAATGTCCACGTGGTAAGCCACTTGGTTGAGCTGTCATTTGTGGCAGCCAGGTCGCTTCTGAAGAAGGAGCCAATAGCTCAGTGGACTTCACCTGGTGAAGTAAAAATAGATTTAGTTTTAGTTTAATGATTTGTTTACCTTTCCTCTACTTTGCACGCCTATCGTGTTTGTGTTTTGTGTTGTAACTTTCTGACCCCGTGCCCCCTATGGGACATCTATGAAAAAGAGCTTCATAGCTCATCGGATTCATAATTCTAGTCACGTAGGTAAAAAATAAAATTAAAATTAATCAAAGTAAAATTAAAATTTATAAAAGTACTTTTATTAATTTAAATTTTATTTTTTACCTACGGATTCATAATGTTGGAGAGTAAACCCACAACATTTACAAAAATAGTTTATTTTGACTTAAAACTTTCGTGACTGCAGGAATTCATATTCTTTGGTTCTTTCGATAAAGTGACGTAGATAGAAAAACTAAAATAAAAATAAAGTGAATAATAAAAATGATAAAGCACTCATGTATAATCAAAACTTTTGAGTTATAAATTAGTCTTCTTGGTTCTTTCGGTAAAGTCACATAGAAGGGAAAAAAACATAAAATACAATTATTAAAATACAATTTTAATGTTTTCTTTTTAATATTTTATTATTTCCCTTCTACGTGACTTTACCGAAAGAACCAAGAAGATGAATCCCTGCAGTCACGAAAGCTTTAAATTGAAATGTATACATTAGTGTTTTTTTTATGGAGCAGTCTAATTAGTGTCTTATTTTTATAATTTTTTATTCACTTAATTTGTATCATTTGAACTGCCTCTATTGGGAGGGTTTCCACATAACCATGAGATCTTTTAACAATCTCCGTGACAAGAAAGTTCATCTGATCGAGTCACTCACATTTCTGAAGAGATGCCGTGACTCTAACGTAATACCGATCTCATTGACACTGATTTCTGCTGCAGTCACATCTTCCAATGCCAGACGAATTTTGTTCAGGGCGAGCTTGGCCCTGATCTCAGAGAGAATTAGACTGCTCCATACTGAACTAGATCATGTAGACAAGACACTCTTGAAATCACACTTAACATTGACGGGAAAAATGTCGACATCTGATTGGGAACATGTAGATAACATGACCGCTTAATCAGCCACTACAATGTCAGCGAAATGTAAAGATCTGATTTTCGAGTTCAACCTCCTTTCTAACAAGAAACCAGATCCACACGTTAAAAGGTTAGACGTTGACAAGGTTGTTATTAATCTGAGTAATAGCCCAATGTGCGATGGTCTAAAGTCGGTTTTGGCTAAAGGGTTGAACTTCTCAGTCACCCCCAAACACATTCCAGTGGATGACGTTATTGCCCAGGTCGATGTCGCTCTTAAGGGTTTGGGGCGCATCGCTGCAGACGTTACAAGATCTGAAATTGCTGCAACCCTCAAAAGCGCTAAGATACCAGTCAGCAACATCAGTGAGGATGAACGTTTTTGTGGTTTTTGATTATTTTTATTCACTTGATTTTCTATCTACGTGACTTTGCCGAAAGAACCAAAGAATATTTACAAAAAAATGTATTTTGTGTGTGTGTAATTTGTTTACCTTTTCTATACTTTGCACTCCTATCGTGTTTACTGTATTGCTTGGAGTTATTGTAGCAGCCAAATAATATAAATGAACGTAGTAGCGGTACACCGTTGCGCTGTATGAAATAATCATCACATTTTTGGCAAAAGTTATTTATTTCCTCGCGATTCGAGACCCCAGACAGAAGGATATTTTGGGGTGGTGGTGGTGCGTCAAAATCAGTTGTCGTGATGCCAAAGCGGTGGGAAGACGGAACGTGACATGAGCAGCACTGAACACGAAGCTTCGCAGTCTGTTGCCGTACAGCGGCGCCCAGTCTGATGACGATCGGCTGCTCCGTGCTCCAGTGGCAAGATTGGACTCCTCGTGCCCCTAGAGACTCGGTCGGACGGTGCCTCGATACGACTCGTGGTGTCGCCACCGCACGTTCGGAATGGGGGACGCGGCTGCTGAATCTGAGTGCAACTTCTGATGGAGAGTCCTGCAGCTCACTCAAGGGGCAACGGCGACATCGTCGGGACTATGAAAAATAAGAATCGGTTTTACTCTTTATGGGAATGAAACAGGAGGTGTTAAGATGTTCAAACACCAGATAGATTATAGCTTTTGCAAGGAATCAGGTTACTGCATTAACCACGCGTACTGAACACGCAAACAAACACTCTCTGATAACATTTAATCATTGTCTTTGATACTGATTGGTCTACCCCAGAGACAGCCTTCTTCATGGCCTAGTCTCACCAGTGTCAGACCAGAGAACAACACCAAAAGGCGACCAGTACAAAGACAATGCAGTGTCAAGAGCATTTATAGCTCGGGGTGAGTAGCTATATCATTGGACCTTTTTGCCAGAATCAAAGTATAAAAAATAGGAATCGGTTTTACCCTTTCTGGCAATAAAACAGGAGCTGTTAAGATGTTCACACACCAAATAGATGATTCCTTTTTGCAAGGAATCAAGTTACTGCATTAACCACGCGTACTTGTGTTGAACACGCAAACAAACACGCTCTGATAGTAATCACATCGTCAGGACTGTGTTACGAGGACCCGGTGTGTTGCTATGCTGCACGGGTGTACTGCCAATACGTACAAATAACAATGACCGACTGCCTCCTTGCGCAGGGATGAACCCGGCCCAGCCCGAGTTCATGCGCGCACGCGGCAAGCGCAGGGCGAGGGGGAATAGAGCGGAGTGCGGGCGGTCGAGCGACTCCGACGAGGAGTGGACGGGGAGGAGGAAGAGGAAGGAGGTGGCGATGCACGGAGGACGAAGAGGCAAACGTAAAAGGGCGCTTGCAGACCGTGCAGAGACCCCCTGTAGACTCACACAGAGACCCCCTGTAGACTCACACAGAGACCCCTGTAGACTCACACAGAGGCCCCCTGTATACTCACGCAGAAACCCCCTGAAGACTCACAAAGAGACCCTGTGTAGAATCACACAGAGACCCCTGTAGACTCACACAGAGACCCCTGTAGACTCACACAGAGACCCCCTCTCGACTCACGCAGAGACCCCCTGTAGACTCACACAGAGACCCCCTGTAGACTCACGCAGAGACCCCCTGTAGACTCACGCAGAGACCCCCTGTAGACTCACGCAGAGACCCCTATAGACTCACACAGATACCCCCTGTAGACTAACACAGAGACCCCCTGTAGACTCACACAGAGACCCTCTGTAGACTCACGCAGAGACCCCCTGTAGACTCACGCAGAGACCCCCTGTAGACTCACACAGAGACCCCCTGTAGACTCCCACAGAGACCCCCTGTAGACTCACGCAGAGACCCCCTGTAGACTCACACAGAGACCCCCTGTAGACTCACACAGAGACCCCTGTAGACTCACACAGAACCCCCTGTAGACTCACACAGAGACCCCCTGTAGACTCACGCAGAGACCCCTGTAGACTCACACAGAAACCCCCTGTAGACTCACGCAGAGACCCCCTGTAGACTCACACAGAGACCCCTGTAGACTCACGCAGAGACCCCTGTAGACTCACACAGAGACCCCTGTAGACTTACGCAGAGACCCCCTGTAGACTCATGCAGAGATCCCCTGTAGACTCACGCAGAGACCCCCTGTAGACTCACACAGAGACCCCCTGTAGACTCACACAGAGACCCCCTGTAGACTCACGCAGAGACCCCTGTAGACTCACACAGAGACCCCCTGTAGACTCACATAGACCCCTGTAGACTCACACAGAGACCCCCTGTAGACTCACACAGAGACCCCCTGTAGACTCACACAGAAACCCCCTGTAGACTCACACAGAGACCCCCTGTAGACTCACGCAGAGACCCCTGTAGACTCACACAGAAACCCCCTGTAGACTCACACAGAGACCCCCTGAAGACTCACACAAAGACCCCTGTAGACTCACACAGAGATCCCTGTAGACTCACAGAGACCCCCTGTAGACTCACGCAGAGACCCCTGTAGACTCACACAGAGACCCCCTGTAGACTCACGCAGAGACCCCTGTAGACTCGCTTGATGAAGCTGGTTGTAATCACCAGCGGAACCAAGTTAAATGCCCGCTCACGGCCAACACCAGTGACGACGATCCGAACCGGTCCTGAGCCTCCCCTAGGTTGACTCAGCGTCAAAATGAGTACCCGGTGCAGTGGTGTGTAGTAAACATCACAACTGGGGAGACAAAGACGGTCGGGCGTGTTGCTAGCTGCCCATCCCCCCGTGTGCCGTGCTGGCCTTCGTAGATGCTGCTTGCTGACAGCACTTGACCGCAACAGTCTGTGAAGGCTACACGGGGCATCTTTTTAATTGTGGACCGAGTTGGCACAGTCGCGGGCACAGGTGGTGCATCTGGCAGTCATCTCAGTAAACCTATGGCACCTGCAGGGTCCGTCTCGTGACCTGCACCTAGCCTGGCACAACAGTCAACCCATGGCATGGCACCTGGTTCTGTCCTGTGACAACAGTCTGTTAAGGCGGCACAGGGGAGATCATTGACTTTTTGGTAAATATGTGAGTGAGTAAATGTTTGCATGCGTAAATACGCGTGTGGGTGTGTTCACACGTGTGTGTGTGTGTTAATGCATTTCCGTGTGTTCACACGTGTGTGCGTGTGTTAACGCGTGTGCATATGGGGAGCGGTAGTGTAGCGGTTAGCGCGCTGCGCTATGAACCCGGCGACCCGGGTTCGATTCCCGCTCACGGTCAACACCAGTGACGATTATTTGAACCGGTCCTGTGCCTCCCCTATGTCGGCTCAGCCTCAACTGAGTACCTGGTGCGGTGTGTAAACATCACCACTGGGGAGACAAAGACGGTCGGGCGTGGTGCTGGCCACCCACCCCCTCGTGTACCGTTCTGGCCTTCATAGGTGCTCACTAACAGCACTTGCCCCTACAGTCTGTTAAGGCTATACGGGGGAGCTTTGTCCTTGCATATGTTCATGCGTGTCCGTGTGTTCACACGTGTGTTCACGTGTGTGCGTGTGTTCACGTGTGTGCGTGTGTTCACGTGTGTGCGTGTGTTCACGTGTGTGCGTGTGTTCACGCAGGAGGAGGCAAGGGGGCTGCTTCACGCTGGGCCACCGTGGGAGAGTCTCACGCGAGGGCAGCTTCCAGCAAGCGCAAGGTCTCTGTGCACAGCGCACGGCACTCCTCTCGTTACAGCTGCTGCTGCTGTTGTCTTTAGTTTGTTGTCCTTCCCCCGCACCTCCCATTAGCGAGGTTGGCTACGTACGGTGACAAAGACATTCAACGTACATACATACTACTAGACACTGCTATACCAGGGACGTGCGGTCAGGGGAGACGGGCGAGGCAGAGCCTCACCTGTCATATACTCCAATGAAAATAGCTGTTACGAAAAGTACAAAAAAATGTTCCACTGGTCTGTGTTATAAAAGTAATTTCTATATAATTATACCAGAGACGTGCGTCATTATTGTGGTGGTGGTGGTATTGGAACGCGCGCACACCAGCTCCGGTTAACTCCCATTACTTACCTGTGCGGGGCGGTTGTGATATCCCTAGCCGGGGCCCCTCCCGAGGGGAGGGGGCTGTGGGGTGTGTGTGATCCCACAGAACCCCGCCCCTCAGTGGGGAATCGTATAAAAGGCGAGACTCTGAGAGGAGAGAGTTAGTTCGAACAAGCCAAGGACGAAGAACCAGCTGAAGTCCAGCTAGCTAGACCCTGGGACTCCTCTGACCCGCTGTCCTTCTAAAGGCCGGGCAGAGCAAGCCAGTGGTGCGACCCCAGAGCCGCGAAGGCTGATGTCCTTGTAAGGGCCGGATTCGTGTGGCTGGTGGTCGGGACCTGTGCCTTGGCTGGGCCAGGTCAGGTAGTCTCCTTGAGAGGAGGGTCGTAGTATTGGTGGGGAGTCGGTGAGTTAGCTTGGGGAGTTAGCTCCCTTGAGAGAACGGGTGAAGAGGCCGTTACCTCTTCAAGTGTGAAGCTGTAACGGGCTCAGAGTTAATAAATATGGGTTGCCTCTACTTCAACTGTCTCTGTCGTCACGGTGTCCACTACATTATTATAATTAGTTTATTAATTAGTTGAGTTGTGAAGAGGCATGGCCTGCCATACCCACCGAGGTTCAGCATGACGGCATGGTTCTGCTTGATGTATGGAATCAGATTTACAGATTCAGAATATCAGAATTAAAATATGTATTGTACTGGAGGAATCCGATGAGGTGTCAGGGTCGAGATGGAACCCGCGACCTCCTGCGTACCAGGCGAGGGAGTTAACATCTCCTAGCCACCGCTGGTCACCGCACCAACTCCGCCCCCACACCCCCTCCGCCCCCTCACCCCACCGCCCCCTCCGCTCAGACTAAAGCGGAAGCCCTGGAGTACGTGTGGAGCATCTTGCAGGGCGTGGAGGAGGAGGAGCAGCAGGAGGAGGAGTTCAGGGGATTTGAGCTGAGGGAGGTGCACAAGGCCAGGATGGCGATGTTCAGGCTGGAGCGCAGAGCCACCGCCTGCAAGGAGGCCCTGAGGGTGGCGCTCCAGAGGATACGTGGAGGTGCGTAGCCTGCAGCGGTGATTTCTATTCCCACCGCAACTCCACACTCCCCTCTATTCTCACCGGAACTCCACACTCCCCTCTATTCTCACCAGAACTCCACGCTCCCCTCTATTCTCACCGGAACCCCACACTCCCCTCTATTCTCACCGGAATTCTACACTCCCCTCTATACCCACCAGAACTCCACACTCCCCTCTATTCTCACCAGAACTCCACACTCCCCTCTATTCCCACCGGAACTCCACACTCCCCTCTATTCCCACCGGAACTCCACACTCCCCTCTATTCTCACCGGAACTCCACGCTCCCCTCTATTCTCACCGGAACTCCGCAATCTTCTGTTAGTGCTGATGGAAGTCGCCACTGCTGTTGATGCTACTGCTACATGTGCTCCTGTCAGGGCTGCTGCTGGTACTGATGCAGCCTATGAACTAAACGATGTTTATTTTTCTTATTGGTTCTTTCGGTAAAGTCACGTAGAAGGGAAGTAATAAAATAATAAAAATAAAACATAACAAAACAATTCTCACGACGTTTCGGCCACAACGCAAGCAGCCGTCCTCAGGTGAAAACCAGGTCTGTCGAGGCGACAGCGTCTGAATGAAACAGCACACGTGCTTGGAGCATATATATAAGCTGGGTTGGAAGGGGGGAAAGAGCGCCTTGACAAAAGAATATGCATATCAAGAGGCATTTAGCATATTTATGGGAAATGCAGGTATGTGATTAGTACTACTTATGCCCGTGCATTATGCAGGATTAGCAGCATCAAAGGGAGGGGATATGGGAAATGCAGGTATGTGATTAGTACTACTTATGCCCGTGCATTATGCAGGACTAGCAGCATCAAAGGGAGGGGATATGGGAAATGCAGGTATGTGATTAATACTACATATGCCCGTGCATTATGCAGGATTAGCAACCAGGGTGTGCCCCACTGAGCTGTGTAGCTGTTTTTCAGAAGCGACTGGCTATCACAAATAAGAGCTCAACGAAGTGACTTGTCATCATCGTCATTACGTGGACATTTATAGCAGCCAAATATTCTCAACGCATGACGTTGGTTCTATATGTCGAGGGAAAAAAACGAAGGACCCGGAGAAAAATCCACGCAACCACGGGGAGGTATTCGCCATGAAAGTTTGCACAGACAAGGAATTTACTATGGCCGGAAGGTGCATACATTCAACATGTAGGAATCTTAAAACTGAAATGAGTGGTATACAGTCAAACTATACTAAAATTACAAAGTCTAACTAATACTAAGGGGCTAAAGTATGTAAAATTGTGAATAAGTGTACAATATAAAATGTAAACTAGCCATAATATACAATCTAAAAATACAAAAATACAAATAGGGTAACATGTTGTAAACTATACAGTCGGGATGGAACCCACGACCTCCTGTAGACCATGCGAGGGAGTTAACATCTCGCCACGGAGGAGAGAGAGACACGCAGACTCCAAATATACAGCAGGCTTCGTCAGGGTCGGGATGGAACCCACGACCTCCCGTATACCACGAGAGGTAGTCAACATCTCGCCGTGTTTGCCTGCAGGCTCCTCCGTGCCGCCGGCCTCCGCCCAGGCTGTGGCGGTGTCGCGCAGCGCTCGCTCTCGCTACGGCCTGCGCCCGCGCGAGAGGAAAGTCTACACAGAGGTGGAGGAGCCCCAGGACGACGACTTCTTCTGTGAGACCCCCTGCTCCCTCTCACTCTCTCTCTCACTTTCTCACTCTCTCTCTCACACTGTCACTTTCTCACACTCTCTCTCTCACTGTCACTTTCTCACACTCTCTCTCTCACTGTCACTTTCTCACACTCTCTCTCACACCGTCACTTTCTCACTCTCTCTCTCTCACTGTCACTTTCTCACACTCTCTCTCACACTGTCACTTTCTCACACTCTCTCTCACACTGTCACTTTCTCACTCTCTCTCTCTCACACTGTCACTTTCTCACACTCTCTCTCACACTGTCACTTTCTCACACTCTCTCTCACACTGTCACTTTCTCACACTCTCTCTCACACTGTCACTTTCTCACACTCTCTCTCACACTGTCACTTTCTCACACTCTCTCTCACACTGTCACTTTCTCACACTCTCTCTCACACTGTCACTTTCTCACACTCTCTCTCACACTGTCACTTTCTCACACTCTCTCTCACACTGTCACTTTCTCACACTCTCTCTCACACTGTCACTTTCTCACACTCTCTCTCACACTGTCACTTTCTCACACTCTCTCTCACACTGTCACTTTCTCACACTCTCTTAGGGCCGTCCATTAATGGCGTCACGCGATTTTGGACCCCCCTCCCCCCCATCACACGACATCACAAAAAGTCAGACCCCCCCCTCAAATGTGACGTCACAAAGCTCATTTAATATGCTTAAAATCGCTTCAAACTATTGTCATTGTAGTGCATATTTAATGTGGCACTGCAGTCTGATGTTGTAGGAGAAAACATTTATTAAAAAGTATTTAATTAAGTAGAACGTGTTGTCTGTGGTTCCTCACACATCGTCACAAATGTCTGACCCCCCCACCCCCCTAGGTGCATGAAGTCATTTATGGACGGCCCCTTACTCTAACTTTCTCACACTCTCTCCTATCTCTCTCTATTGCTCCCGCGCTCTCACTCGATATATTCCACCTGCTCCCTCTCACTCTCTCTCCCTTTCCCTCCCTCTCACACGCTCCCTTTCTCGCACTCTCACTTACCTCCCTGTCTTTTGCTCCCTCACTCAGGGATGCAGGGAGGGAGCAGGGAGGGTGACAGGGTTTACATCTCCGATGAGCGAGCTAAAGAAGTTCACAATGCAGAGAGGGAGGAAAGGAGGCATCTGTCTGGAGCGCTCCTCACCCTCTCACTCTCTCACAGTGCCACTGCTGCTGCTGCTGTTGCTACTGCGGTTCGCCCTCCTCCTGCTGCTGCTGCTGTGGCTCTCAGTCTGCGAGCTGTGCAGGGATTTCTACCTGGGGGAGTGCTCCGTGCACGGCCCGCCAGAGTTCATTGCAGACGCGGCCGTGGCCCCGGGAGTGGCCAACAGGGCCCGGCTCAGCCTGCCCCAGGGCCTCACCGTCGGCGCCTCCTCCATCGCCGGCGCCGGCCTCGGGGTGTGGAGCAACAGGAAGAAGCTGCCCAAGGGGGTGATTTTTGGGCCCTACCAGGGAGAGGTGTCTGAGGAGAACCCCGTGAGCGAGTACTGCTGGCTGGTGAGCTGCTGCTGCTACTGCTGCAGCCTCCTCCTATTCCTACATCATCATCGTGTGTGTGGAGAGGAGGCTCGTGAAGGAGATGCAGAGAAACCCATAGCCTCACACAGTCACCCACAGACTTACACAGAGATCTAGAGACTGGCACAGAGAGACCCAGAGACTCACAGAGACCCATAGACTCACACAGAGACCCATAGACTCGCACAGAAACCCATAGACTCACACAGAGACCCATAGACTCGCACAGAGACCCATAGACTCGCACAGAGACCTATAGACTCGCACAGAGACCCATAGATTCACACAGAGACCCATAGACTCGCACAGAGACCCATAGCCTCACACAGTCACCCACAGACTCACACAGAGACCCAGAGACTGGCACAGAGAGACCCAGAGACTTTGCACAGAGACCCAGAGACTCGCATAGAGAGACCCACAGACTTGCACAGAGACCTAGAGACTTGAACAGAGACCCAGAGACTCACAGTGGGACACACAGACTCACACAGAGACCCAGAGACTCACACAGAGAGACCCAGATACTCACACAGATGCTCAGAGAATCGCACAGAGAGATCCACAGTCTCACACAGAGACCCAGAGACTCGCACAGAGACCAAGAGAATCGCACAGAGACCCACAGTCTCACACAGAGACCCAGAGTCGCACAGATACCCTAGAGACTCGCACAGAGACCCAGAGACTCGTACAGAGACCTAGAGACTCACCCAAAGACCCCAGAATCACAGAGAGACCCAAAAATTAACGTAATTATTTGAACTTGTAACACACAGCAAAGACGGTGGTCACCGCATGGCGCGGCGCTTACAGATGCACTTCTGCGGCCGTCTGGAAGGTTCTTCCTTCCAATGTTAGGAAGCCACTGGGAGCTATGCACTTTAAAATCTTGTAGATTGAAAATGCATTTCTTTAGAACTGCTTTTAGTGTTTAGTTTGTTGTCCTTCCCCCGCACCTCCGATCAGCATGGTTGGCTACGTGCGGTACGAAAGAAGTTCAACTTACAGTCCAACTGACATTAATTATCCGTGGATCCGCTCGTGTGCGTGTGTGTTTCAGATTTACAAAAACAAAAAGGATCGTGAATATGTTGATGCTCAGGATGAATCTAAATCAAACTGGATGAGGTGATTATTGTCTGAAGGACCACTACACAGAGACCAGAACCACTACACACAGAGACCAGAACCACCACACACAGAGACCAGAACCACCACACACAGAGACCAGAACCACTACACACAGAGACCAGAACCACTACACACAGAGACCAGAACCACTACACACAGAGACCAGAACCACTACACACAGAGACAAGAACCACTTCACACAGAGACCAGAACCACTACACACAGAGACCAGAACCACTACACACAGAAACCAGAACCACTACACACAGAGACCAGAACCACCACACACAGAGACAAGAACCAGCACACACAGACCAGAACCACTACACACAGAGACCAGAAACACCACACACAGAGACCAGAACCACTACACACAGAGACCAGAACCAGCACACACAGAGACCAGAACCACTACACACAGAGACAAGAACCAGCACACACAGAGACCAGAACCACTACACACAGAGACCAGAACCACCACACACAGAGACCAGAACCACCACACACAGAAACCAGAACCACCACACACAGAGACAAGAACCACCACACACAGAGACCAGAACCACTACACATAGAGACCAGAACCACCACACACAGAGACAAGAACCACTACACACAGAGACCAGACCCACTACACACAGAGACCAACCCTGGGCCTCCCCTTGGTCGACTCGGCATCAAATGAGCACCCGGTACGGAGCGTGGTTCCAGCCACACCACCCCCACGTAGCGCCCAGTGCCGGCCCTTAATAGGCGCTCGCTAACGGCGCCCACCCCGCCCCCGCGTCTGCCCGCGCAGGTTCGTCAACTGCGCGAGGAATGAGCAGGAGCAGAACCTGGTGGCCTTCCAGCACCGAGGGCAGATTTACTACCGCACATTCCGTGCCGTGGGGCCCGGCTCTGAGCTGCTGGTCTGGTACGGCGAGGAGTTCGCCCAGGAGCTGGGCATCGCCTGCGAGGCCGGGCCCTCGCGACGCCGCAGCAGCAGCAGCAGCGAGATGGCTCCTAGGGCCACCGCCAGAGACCTGCAGCCCGTGCAGCCTCCACCAAGCGAGGAACACCGTGAGCACTGCTCACCAGAGACTCACCACTGCTCACCAGACTATAGCCACCACTCACCAGAGATGATAGCCACCACTCACGAGAGACGATAGCCACCACTCACCAGAGATGATAGCCACCACTCACCAGAGATGATAGCCACCACGCACCAGAAATGATAGCCACCACTCACCAGAGATGGCAGCCACCACTTACGAGAGACGATAGCCACTACTCACCAGAGACGATAGCCACCACTCAGTAGAGATGATAGCTACCATTCACCAGAGATGATAGCGACATCTCACCAGAGATGTGGATGTAGCTACCACTCACCAGAGATGATAGCCACCACTCACTAGAGATGATAGACACCACTCACCAGAGATGATAGCCACATCTCACCAGAGTTGGTAGCCACCACTCACCAGAGATGACAGCCACCACTCACCAGAGATGATAGGCACCAGCCACACTGATAAGGTGGAAGTGAGTAACTGGTGTGGTGTGTAGTAGTAAACATCGCCACTGGGGAGACAAAGGCGGCTATGTGTGGTGCTGGCCACCCTCCCACTCGTGTGCCGTGTTGGCTTTCATTGGTGCCCATAACAGCACTTGTCCCAAAAGTATATACAGGCTATATGGGGGTTCTTTGTCTTTGTGTGTATATATAATGGAGCCCACTGCACTACGAACCCGGCCACCTGAGTTCGATTCCCACTCACGGCCAACGTCAGTGGTGAATATTTAGGCCTCCCCTAGGCTGACTCAGCCTCAAATGAGTACCTAGCTTAAACGTGGAAACATCGCCACTGGAGAGACAAAGGCGGCCGGGCCTGGTGTTGGCCACCTACTCCCTCGTGTGCCATGCCGGCCTTCATAGGTACTCGCAAACAGCACTTGCCCAACAGTCTGATATGGCTGTGGGAAACCTTTACCTTTGTGTATACACACACGTGTGCAAGAGTGTTCATGTCTAGATGTTGGTGTGTGCGCGTGTGTCTTGTTCCTCTGGGATGACGCAGGTGGAGTGGGTGTGGAGGTCACAAGGCTGCCGTGTCCTGCCTGCAACCGTCAGTTCATCTGCCGCTCGAGTCTACAGTATCACGTGCAGAGCAGACACCCCACTAAGCCCAGTAACAAAAGTCATCAGTGTGACCAATGTCCATACAGCACAGACTACAAGAGTACCTTGAAGAAGCACCAGAGAACACACACGGGAGAGAAGCCGTTCAAGTGCACCGTGTGTGAGAAGGCGTTTGCACGGCTATCACATCTTCACAGCCACCAGAGAACACACACGGGAGAGAAGCCGTTCAAGTGCACCGTGTGTGAGAAGGCATTTGCACATTTACAACATCTTCACAGCCACCAGAGAACACACACGGGAGAGAAGCCGTTCAAGTGCACCGTGTGTGAGAAGGCATTTGCACATTTACAACATCTTCACAGCCACCAGAGAACACACACGGGAGAGAAGCCGTTCAAGTGCACTGTGTGTGAGAAGGCGTTTGCACAGCTATCAGATCTTCACAGGCACCAGAGAACACACACGGGAGAAAAGCCGTTCAAGTGCACCGTGTGTGAGAAGGTGTTTGCAGACCCATCCAGTCTTTGCCGGCACCAGAGAACACACACCGGCCAGAATGCATTTTCTCATTCCCGTGGAAACAGAAAAGTCAGCCATCCTGAGCAAAACGCGCACAGCGCCGAGCTGTGAATTAGTTTTAAACAACAGGCCACGTGACTAGCCGAGGCTGTGCCACTCTTGAAACTGATTTTGAATGTGAACACGGAAACCTACGGACCCTCCTACACCTGCCTCACACTCTGTGGGGGGTGGGAGATTAAACCGACCTGGCCACCCCTCGATTGCAAGTGCGGAGTTCTAGGTCCCAACCACTGCACGTGTCCCCCCCCCACCCCCATCACCTGGGGGTCCCTGTGTGTGTGAGTGTGCAGAGTCCCCCGTGCAGAGCTGCACTGTTGTTACCCTAGAGGGGGACACCGCAGGGCGATCCACCTACAGATACCCCAGTCTGCACGTCTCCCGCCGGTCTCCATGCGCACCGCGTGCCGTCTCGTAGCCCTGCCCCGTGCGACGTACGTACAGTACGTACAGTACGTACCCATCCAGCGGTAGACTGAACCGCGGCCGATGACGAAGGTGGCATCCGCTCACAAATCTCCGTGCACTCAGTCCCGTAGCCCTGAGCCATCGCTTGCGCGATATTCACTTTGCCGCTGAGAGGAAAGCTACGGGGAGGAGGTGGGGGGGGGTGTTAGGAGAGGACATCTGTGGAACGGCTGGAGATCTGCGAAGAAGAGCTTCATAGCTCATCGGATTCCTGCGGTCTGAAAAAATATTCCGAGAGGGCGTTGGGGGAGGGGGGTGTAGGTATGATTGGGGCATCTGCACTTGGATCACCCTGCGTGTTGTTGCTGCCTCCCCCGTTGAAAATGTTCCCAGCGTGAACTTAACCCTTTGCCGTCGCGACGACGCCGCGCGCCGTGCGTGAACGTCGTCGTCGGAATAACAAAACGCAGTAAAAACTAAAGCAACATTATCGGTACCGAGGCTCCCACAGGGCCACGCGGGGCAGGGAGTGTGGCACAGTTTTCGCGCCGGCTAGCGCAGAGTGGCGGCGGTCGTGTCGCTACGCTTCTCTGCGGTGAGCAACGACGTCTTTATAACAACAACAGCAGTGCTGCTGCTGCTGCTGCCACTGCTGCGGTGAACGGTGACAGCCACCCCGTGACCTGTGACCCCCACCCCGTGAACGGTGACACCCACCCCGTGAACGGTGACACCCACCCCGTGAACGGTGACACCCCATGGGTGGAAAAAACCCGATTTTTCCAGCTGCAGGCATCGGGTTTTTTCTTTAACACAATTAAACCCGATTTCGGGGAATTAAAACCTGGTTTAATGAATACGAAACTCTGATAGGCTTAGGCTGCTTCCTCGTCGGTGCTGCTATGGTACTCGGGCCGTCGGGCACGGGGTAGTCGTAGAATGCGGCGGGCAGGTTGGTCTTAATGAACACGAGCTTCTCCACAATCGTGGGCGCCAGTGAGTTCCTTAGCTTGGAATGGATGAAGCCCATCGTTGAGAAGTGCGGTTCTGCAATTAGAACCAATGAAACCGGATTTCTCTCAATCTTAGATGATCGGGTTTAATATAAAAAGACAATTAAACCCGATTGTAAAAAACCCGACTGTGCCACCCTTGTGACACCCACCCTGTGAACGGTGACACCCACCCCGTGAACGGTGACACCACCGACCTGACTCTGCAGACGTCTCGGACGCGGGAAAGGGTTGAGAGATTTTCTGCGTCGTCCCGGTTGCTCGCGTGATGTCGCACGGTGGTGGCGCGCGTTGACTCTTGCACGTTTAAGAAAGTTGAGCGTTAGTTTGTGATTCTGTTTAAAATGATATATACATACTTAAACTAACAAACATTATCTTGGGATTCTACCAAGTAAGGTCCAACTGGATACGTAGTAGCTCTTTTATCAGACGCGACCACCTGGCCATCACAAATGAAAGCTCAACGAAGTGGCTTATCATTGTGTGGACATTTATAGCGGCCAAATACTCTGATTGCGTGATCTCGATTCTAAATGTCGAGGGAAACCGGAGGACCTGGAGAAAATCCACACGACCACGGGGAGAGAGAGAGAGAGACGCGCAAACTCAAAATATACAGCAGGCGTCAGGGTCGGAATCAAACACACGATCTCCTGTATACCAGGAGAGGTAGTTAACATCTCCACATGTGTTCAGAGTATTTGGCTGCTGTAAATGTCACGTGATAAGCCACTTCGGTGCGCTGCTGTCATTTGTGATAGCCAGGTCGCTACTACACAGCTCAGTGGGGGCCTTACCTGGAAAAGTAAAATGATTAATAAAATCTACTGTATTCTTGGTTCTTTTGGTAAAGTCACGTAGAAGGGAAATAATAAAATAATAAAAATGTAAGAATCAAATTAACACGACGTTCGATTGCAACACAAGCAATCATCAGTTTATGAAACCCACAACAACAAAAACAATATTGCTGTGGTTTTCACACCTGATGATGATTGCTTGCGTTGCAATCGAAACGTCGTTGAGAATTGTATAGTTTTATTTTTATCATTTTATTATTTTCCTTCTACGTGACTTTACCGAAAGAACCAAGAATATGAATCCCTGTAGTCACGAAATCTTCAAATCGAAAAAAAATCTCTTCTTGGTTCTTTCGGTAAAGGCACGTAGAAGGGAAGTAATAAAATAATAAGAATAAAACATAATAAAATAATATGATATAATAAAATAATATAATAATATAACATATTATTATATAAGTCACTTATAAGGCAAGTAATAAAATAATAAAAATAAAACAATAATTTAATATAATAAAATATTTTATTATATTTTGTTCATTATCTTTTATTTTTATTATTTTATTACTTCCCTTCTACGTGACTCTACCGAAAGAACCAACAATATGAATCCCTGCAGTCACGAAAGCTTCAAATCGAAAAACCAAAAATCTCCTGTGAGAATGACCTCACCGGACCGGTGGAGGCAGCGCTGCCGTCTTGGTCCCAATTGGCAGCGGCGGCGTCTCGTTGGTTGTGAAGGCGGCCCAGCTCACACAGCCCGTGCCGGTGCAACAGGCCGTAGTCTACCCGGGGTTCAAGCGGCTAGGCTACATTGTACCCGGGTGTATCATGGCCGAGGCCAAATTATACCCTCTAGGCCAAATCATACCCCCATGATAGTAATAGTGTTGAGCGATATCTCTTGTTTAGTGCTGCCTAACGGCGTGTGCGACTTCACGATGATATTGGTCCCGGTCTAGCACGGCGTGTAGAGTTTGTGCTGTTGTTAATTGTAGCCATGTTTTGATGTTACTGAGCCATGTCGTTTTTGGCCGTCCTGGTCGTTTTTTCCCTTCGATTTTTCCTTCCAGGATTTGCTTTAATAGCTGGTATTTGTGATATACACATGGAATTACTAAATTTTTTCAACATTTTATTTAACACTGTAAACACATAGACTTTGATTACTTCAACCAGAAAAACTGATAATAACCCTAAAAATGCTTCAATTGATCAAATTGAGATTCTTACTTCCATTTATACGCTTTTTAGATATCGATTGAAGTCCGTTGTCGGCTGTTCTCTGTATGGATAATTGCCTTTGAACTTTCACATGGGGCATGTTCTGCCCTGGAGGGGGGTATGGTCTGGACCAGTCTAGTTTAAACCCCCGGGTATAGTTTAGCCTAGGACACTTTATCCCCCGGGTCTACTCTGGCCTGGGCCAAACTATATCCGGGTTTAATCGGGGCAGGGGTTATTTTAAATCCTTTATATTAAGTTCACTTGCTTGCTTGCTTGCGCGCTCACGACCGTGCACAATCTTTCAGTCGTTTTTTAACCGACTTCCCGTGATCCAATCGAGCTGACATTTTGCACACAGACTCGTTGTGCGTGACAATTTATTTTCGTGAAAAAATTTTCCCAAAATTTTACACTTTTTAGGAAAAAAAAAACATTGTATTTAATTACCAATTGCTTAATGGTGGCAGGCAACCATCTGAGCCATAGGTGGCAGCCATCTCAAGCCAGAGGACGAGAGGACTCTAGCCGCCACGCATATAAAGGATTTATAGTGAAAAACTTTGTTTTTACGGGTTAATTTTTAGCCTGTTTCACCGGTATCTCCAGGAGGTCGGAGGCGACTTGCTCTGCGGTAACACTTTTCCGTGACAGAGGTTTTGGTTTTTGTTGTGTTGTTGTTGGGTTAGAGATCTCGTAAATATCAACATTGTGTCGTTAACCCACCACCACCCACCACCATCGCCTGACACGGCCAATCAGTCAGGGTTTGTCACGTAAACGAAACGTTGCCAATTGGTTACCCAACTTCAGCCACACACAGCGCTTGTGTGTCGGGGAGAGTGAACCCCACAACAGCATTTACAATTCGAGTGCCGGTGACGTTTCGCCGGTGTATTACAAACAACGGCGACCGGTTTCATCGGGCGATGTGCCAGGATTGTGATCCAACGCCATCTAATCCAGCAGCAGCAGCAGCAGCGACGACAACAAAAACCTTCATCACAGACACCGCTGGTCGCAAGAGACTGCGCGTGGCGCTTTGTGTTGCCGTTGCCACGAATCGTCGAAGCGCGTTCACGATCTGTTGTTCTCCTGTAACGCGGTGGTCATTTCGATTTAAAGCTTCTTTCGTGACTGCAGGATTCATCTTCTTGGTTCTTTCGGTAAAGTCACGTAGAATGGAAATAATAAATAATAAAAATAAAACAATAAAGTAATTGTTTTATTTTTATTGTTTTATTATTTAATAATAAAATTATAAAATAAACATTTACTTTATTATGTTATATTTTTATGGAAATAATAAAAATAATAAAAATAAACAAGACAGTAATTGTTTTATTTTATTGTTTTATTATTTAATAATAGAATAATAAAACTAAACATTTACTTTATTATGTTTTTATTTTTATGGAAAATAATAAATTTAAACAATAAAGTCATTGTTTTATAATTATTATTTTTATGTAATAATAAATAATAAAATAAACATTTTTATTATGTTTTATTTTATTATTTTATTATTTCCATTCTACGTGACTTTACCGAAAGAACCAAGAAGATGGTGGTCATGTTGCGTTCCTGAAGAACACCGCGTTGTGGAGAAAAATATAAACTATAGGGGGTGAAGCGTGGTCCGCGACAAACACGCGAGATGATGGTTAAGACAGAGGCCGGACTACGACTGAGGCGCGTGGGTAGCGTCTAGAAGCAGCATCCAGCAGCATCCCCAATGCCTCCTCGCGTGATGCCGCTACGCCGAGGCAGCCGCACGGAGAACCGCTTGTTCCTACTCGCGTTGCGACCTCGTTCCGTTCGCTCGCTCGCGTTGCATCCAATCCGCATCCGCGTCACAAACAGCGTGTTCTCCTACACATCATTCATGGCGTTATATCATCCAATCGGCGTGTTCAAACTAACCGCGGCGTTGTAGGAGAACCAGACTGTGCCGTTGTCTTCTGCTGTTTAACGCAGAGGCCGCATCGACCGTTCCAATAGTCGCTGTAGCCACTGCGAGCCCCAAGCTGTCGGCTCCCGGCTCTAAACTCCCCCCCCCCCCCCCTGGCGTTATCTGTAGTCGTTTACACACAGCAGCACCTGGTCACAGCTGCTCACTGCTATCCTACAACACCAATCCCAGTCGTCATCCCTGCACCTCAAGGATGGTAAAACTATGACCCAACAAAATTACACATCACACTGTCCTACAACTTCAATTCACACGCCCCTACAGATGTGTTTTGGTCATGTGCCTACCATTCCTCTATTCTGCACTGCTACGGTGTTTATTGTGTTGTGTTTTGTTGTTTGTGGCGTTCTGACCACGTGCCCCGACTGGACACCTGTGGACAATAAAGAGCTTCACAGCTCATCGGATTCCTCCAGAATAAAAATTAAACTTTAAAAACTCTGATGACGTCACTGCGTGGTGACGTCACGCGTCTAGCCCCCTCCACTCCCCCGTTACCCCCCACCCCTCCCACCCTCCATTCCCCCCTCCCGCCACTCACCAACCGCCATTCCGCCCCCTCCTCCCCCCCCCCACCCCCCCCCCCCCCCACTCCCCCCACCACCACCAACCGCCGCCATTGGCCACTGAGTGACGGTGACGTCACCACGGCGCCTGTGCCAGCTGGGTGCACTTCGAGGCTGCCGCGTGAAGTGTCGACGGCTCGACACTGAGGTGGTGACGTCACGCGAGCGTTGTGTTTAACGATTTAACGATATTAGCGTAAAGATATGAGCATTAGCTCAAGTGATGTGAATACGTTCGGATTACCTCAAGTAATGTTACATTTACCTGAGGTAATTTTACCTCGCATAAGGTAAAGTTACCTCATTTGAGATAATGTTACCTTACCTGACGTAATTTTACCTTTGCCTGAGGTAATGTTACCTCGACCTAACGTTATATTACATCGCTTGAGGTAAAGTTACCTCACGTGAGGTAAAGTTACCTCGCCTTCCATTGAATTCCGATTATGTAACCCTGAGGTAATAATCGCGCGATAATTGTGTTTAATGATTTAACTACGTGAGAATTACGATATGGGCATTAGCTGAAGTGATGTGAATACGTTCGGATTACCTCAAGTAATGTTACATTTACCTGAGGTAATGTTACCTCTATGTGAGGTAAATTACCTCACTTAAG